TACTTTGTGGACGAACCTTTGCCTTATTTTTAAGTTTACTTATCTGATGTGAAATTACATTTTTCTTCTGACACAAAATATATAGACAATTATGCAGATTTTTTGTTCTCGCTGTACCCAAACTACTTTTTATTTGCAATGATGTGACCAACTTTGTTACCGAATTTTTTTTATTCGAGACCTATATTACTTAATGAAGTATGGTGAAAGTAACGTACAGGTAAGTCGGTTTAAAACTCCTTCACGCGCTGTATCTCGATTTGCACTTTGATTTTTACTAAGTGTCATTTCTAAATTACAGTTCAATGCACTGCACATTAGATACAAAATGTTAGAAGTTAGGAACAGGTTTGGTTTGTATGAAAAGTTATTTCGACAGTACCGAATATAAAACAATATGAATTTTCTCTTATTTGTACCAATTTGGCTTTCATCGACTATTTGAGCAGGTAGTGATAACAGCCTACTGTGACACTTTAAAATGGCTGTGCTGTTAATAATAAATGCTCCAATAAATGTTTCTTATTGTAATATTAATTTGTTTCTGGGGTTACCAAATATATACCACGTCTTAACACATTCGAAGATCTTTTCTCTCCGTACTGATATTCTATTATAGAAAAATATTCTTCATAACGTCTGTTAGAGTTTCTGTGACATTCTTTGTGCGAATAGTGTATAATAGAAGTTTAATGCCGAGATGTTAACTTCGTTATTCAATCGTTTGGTCGAACATCTTAGGTATGTCGCATCTCAGGCACCCACCGCCAAAGACGCCGCTTCCACTGATCCAATTGTCAGTCGCATCTGAGGAGCTTGTAACTTTTTCTTGTTAACAGTTACATGTTAATTGACAGCCTAAGTGCTTCTGGACGATGATGTCGTCTGAATACTAAAATGACTTCATTGTGAGAAAACTGTTATTAAAACACGATAACCGCAGTGTCGCCATATTAGAATTCAAGAAGCGTACAGTCTGCCACAACTCTGGTAAGTACAAGTAGTGGATTGGATAGTGTTCAGAGACCCGACAAGCTGCAGTGCCGGAGTGCCTACACAAGGCATGTCAAAGACCTGGCATTCAAGTGACCCGGCATGAGAGAGCCAGAATGCCACAGACACTCCATGCCAGAGAGACGGCCTACCAGAACCCTGCATGTCAGAGACCCGGAAAGCTACAGAGCTAGCATGATACGTACTCGTCATGCCTGAGAAACCGGCGTGTCAGGGCCTTGGGGTAACAGCGACACGGCGTTCCAGTTACACGTCTTGCTAGGGACACGATGGTTCAGGTTGACGGTTTGCCGTGGACACGATGATTCAGGGGCCGGGCAAGGCAGGGACAAAGCCAGCAAGGCGCAAAGCAAGTTAGAAAACATCACGCCTTAGGGGAGACACTGAAGGGATCTGGAAAGACAGAGAACGGGATTGCCAGGAAACCGACGCGCCGGAGAAAAGGAACGACAGGGATGAGACATTTCTGGGACTCGTCACGCCAGGCACATTGCAAATCAAGGACGCGGAACGCTAGGGACGCATCACGATAGGTACCTGGAACGCTAGGTAAGCTACGAGCTAGTGACCTGGTACGAGAGAGTCATAGAAAGCCAGGTCCTCGGAACGCAAGAGACCCCCGACACGCCAGATAAACGGAACGACAGGAACTCGGCAAACCAGAGACCTAGTAGAGACAGGTTGTTGAAAACAATATTCAAAATTTCGAAAAAAAGAATTTCGTATTTTGAAAGTCGTTCACCAGACACTTGGAACTGTAGGAACCAGCTGTGTCTGGCTGAGACTGGGTTCGGCAGAAAACTGGTCTGTTATAGGGCGGTTATCAGTTTTTAAAAGAAAATTTCAAATTTTTCAAAATTTTCGAAAAACCAAATAATGTTGGGAAAATGTTTAAAGGTGCACAAAACTAAGAATTTTTTTTAAAAGAAATTCCAAATTCAAAAAAGTCATATATTCTGCAAATTCTTAGTTTTTTTTCGTTTCACATGACATTAATGAACTTTTAAAAATGTTTGTATAAGTTTCGAAAGTTCAAAGTCTTTCAAACAGACACCGTTACCGAGATACCTGCACGCTTGAGACCTGGAACGCCAGAGTAAAGGCACGCTAGACAAATGGCTCGCCGGAGAAATTGCACTCTAGAGACACGGCAGACCAGAGACCTGGTAGGTCAGAGTCATGGCAGGCCATGGACCCGGCTACCTAGAGACCCGGTTGGCCAGAGACTTGGCAGGCATAATTGCCGGCACCACGTTTAATATGTAGGCATACGGTGACATACCTTTTCGCAATAACAGATGAGCTATTATTTGCGGTATTTGCAACTCTCGTGTCGACTTATGTACGTAGACTGTGGACAAGGATTTTGCACATCCTTTCGAAATTTTCGTCAGACACATATGGATACCATCTACCTTTTTGTACAAAACACTTTCGATCTCGTTAAACTCTGGCACGTATCGATGGTCCTGGTGGTGGAGTCTTGTGATACGTTGTTCTGAAAAGTCTTTGGATCTGTGTATCCGATTTCGTTTTGAAAAACCACCACCGCACTCTCCTCTCCTTCTGTTTCATTGTGGCTGACCTTACCCGCAAAGGAGGATTCAGTGCAGTGGAAAACAACGTGTGTTATCATCTGGGTGAAACATCGAGAACTTCTCTCTCAGATGACGCTCAGTGTGTCAATGTATTTTTATAAAGGCTTTGTTTGCCAGCCTTCTGCAGATACACTTATCCCCACTCGACAGGGTTCCACCTACTGCCTTTCCGCAATTGAATCATTCTTAAAATAACATGAGTCTACAAATCTCGTTCTAGAAAAAATCTAGAAACAGCATGCTAGCAAACACAATACTGATTTGTGTTTAGTGTATTTTTCCCCAAGGTTAATTGACAACAATTCAGTTTATTTAAAGAGGCATGGTTGCTATTTTAATTTATATCTGGAGTTATAAACTAAAGTATTGTTACACTTATGGTGTTTTTACGAGTATCCTCAAAACTGAATGAAAATTGCCTTACTGTTGTTGTGTGTCTTTCGCTGTGGTTTCTGTATGGCTGCCAGCTGAGTTCATCTTGTAGTACAGGACTCATATTATTTTGATAAGAAACTTACGATATAAAAGTTTACCCACGTACAGTACGGTTTCGACCGGCGTGTTCTTTTGTGGGAGAATATGTGTTAGCTTTTGATTATTACCGTGAGAGAAATGGCTCGATTCTGTCAAAAGTGTCCCTAAATCCAGCGTCTTTATTGAGACTGGGAACTAGGACAGTTTTCGGGTTTGTGGCCTTATCCAATGCAATATCCTTGCAGAAACAAACAGTTATGTTCTTTGCATCATTCGTCTGTCGTGCTTAGTTTCCGAGGAACAAAATATATTTTTATCGGGACTCAAAACTTGGTCGCTGGGACCGTAGGTTCGAATCCCACTCAAGCCATGGATGTTTGTCCGCGTTTTTCTGTGTTGTGCTGTCCTGTGTACAGGTAGAGGCCTTGCGACGGGCCGATCCCTCGTCCAAGGAGTCCTACCAAAATGTCTATAGATCAAGCCAATGACCCGCAGTGCTCAGTATCCAGTAATATTCTCTTCAAAACTAATAATTTTTCTATTGACATCGTTCATCTCTCGTGTTCGGTTTTCGAACCTATGACAGTTATTAGAGATTGTGGCCTTGAAGTCATGTGTAAACAACATAATGCTACTCAACGCCCTGAATATTGAGACAGCAAGCACCTCTAAAACGTCGGTAAGTTTCTACTAGTCTACAAGTCGCAACAACTCAGGAGACCGACATCTTCATTTTTCTAAACGCTGTTTCCTTAGATTAAATTCCTCATTCTTAGGTTTCTTTTATTTACACGAATTCTTCATCCAGCGTTACTGCAAGTTGATGGTAACCTTTGCCGATTGATCCGTAAAACGGAGACGACGAGGGTGGAAGTAAGGTCTATTATAATGACAAAGAGGGGATGTGTTCGTCGTGTCTAATGGCCGTAGGTTAGCATCTCTAAAAAACAAGTAGGCAAGAAGGAGGAGTTATCATGTGATCAATATGGAAGATAAATTTTTATTTTGTCATAAATGTTTCGTTGTATTATCTTTATATGCAGAGTTTGGCGTTTTGTACTTTCTCTATTTTTACATGGAAGTAAGGTTAAGTTACTACACCTCGAAGAAAAAATTTATTCGTTCCACTTGATTGCATTTGACAACCAAAAACAGATATACTTTATACCCTACTTATTTTACTTTCCAATGTGTTCAGAATGTTTCAAATAAGATTCTTTGGGATGATAAAGTTGCGTCATATCACAAATAAATATATATTTGTTTAAATCTTGTCAGTCTAATCACAATAAAATTCCTATTAAATATTAAAATATTACCATAATTAACATTTAAATATTTAAAATATATTAAATGATATTCTCTATCGAAATGTTCGATTTACATTAGAACATCACTTTTTCATTTTTATTAAAAATTTTATTGTGATTAGACTGACAAGATTTAAACAAAAAGTATTTCAGTGGTTTGAATCTTGTCCGGGGCATGAACACGTGTTGTGCCACGAGAAAATCGTTCTACTCGTCGGAAAAAGATTCTTTGGTTTAAATTAACTGTCCAAAAAGTATCCGAATATATTTTTTTCCCGCGGTAAGTAATGGCGAAAGGGTGGGTAAACTGAGCGTGGTGGTAGAAGGGACTTTCATGCGCATGCGTGATGTTTTGCTTCCTCGCAGCACCGCCGGATGCGTCTGTCGCTGCCAGATAGCGAAGTGGTGTAACACGTGTTCGTCGCATTCTCTTTTCGCTCAAGATGACGGAACGCTTGGAGCAGCGATATTGCATCAAGTTTTGTCAGAAACTTGGGGATTCCCAAGCGGAAACAATCCGCAAACTTCAGCAGACTTTCGGCGATGATGCAATGGGGGAGTCACTCAAATTAAAGAGTGGTTCAACCTCTTTAAAGTTGGTCGCATGTCGGCGGACAGTGACCAGCGTTCCGGGAGACCGTCAACGAGCCGAAATGCTGATGTCATTGACAAAGTGCGGACATTGATCATGGAGGACCGTCGTTTGACCGTCCTTGAAATTGTTGATGAAGTTGGGATTAGCAGAGGTTCCGCAAACACGATGTTAACTGAGGATTTAGGCATTCGAAGAGTGGCGGCAAAGTTTGTGCCCAAGCTGCTTTCGCTGGAGAGCGCCAACAGGGATCCTGAGTTCCTGAAGACTGTGATCACTGGTTATTCATTCATCACACCTGATCCAGGGTTTCCTGGCCAAGCACGGCATTCCGCAGGTTTACCAGGCTCCCTACTCTCCTAACATGAATCCTTTTGATTTCTAGCTGTTCCCGAGAATGAAGACACCGCTATAAGGCTCCCATTTTGACAGCCGCGAGGACATCATACAGAACGTGACGGCTCAGCTGCACACCATTCCAAAACAAGCCTTCCAGAAATACTTCCAGAGATGGAAGGGCCGCTGGGCTAAGTGTGTGGAGTCACAAGGGGCCTAATTTGAAGGGGATTAGGTATTGTAACCCCCCAGATAATGAACTTTGATTTCCCGGCCCAAGGTCGGATACTTTTCGGACAGACCTTACGCACAATATATCCTTGACAAGGCCAACATAACAGGGCTGTAATAACAGCCTTCTCTATGTACAATATTCAAAATACCTTTATTCATGCTCTTGACGTCAGCGGTGATTGAACGCGCCACATTCGAACTACAAAACCATCTCATTTAAAAATGAACAACCACAGAAATTCCAGTTGAAATGTTGGCGGTTTTGCATTTCTTTCACTACAATAAATCGAATCTGGACTAAGGCTGAGTGAGAAAGGGACCGCTACATATATGCATATGTCTGTGTGTTTGAAGTACCGGGTGTCCCGGTTAAAATTCACCTACAGCCACAGTTACAACGCAAATTCCCATTGAGCAGAATAGAGTTTTGCTTGCGTTTACACCGATACTGCCCCTCCCACCTCTCAACTATGTGCCCCCAAGATCGGATTCAATAGAAGAGGGGGGGGGAGTTCAGGGGGAAATGAAATATTTAAGCCTGAAATAAGGAAACCTATTCAAAGCGACACCTCATACAATGCCAGAGTATAAATAGTATATGGGCCCATACAAAAGTTCCTTCCCATTCAAAAGAGGGGACTTTCGTGTTCTTTAGGGTATTAGCTTAAAGTAAGGGCAGAACCAGAGGGAGTACAAAATGAAACAGAGGTGAGAATGGCGGAACATGATTAGTTTTGAAGCTCGTATTGACATGCTTTGTTGTTGGTAGATGGGGAACACTAGCGAGCTCCTATATTATTTAACGGCTTGCACTGAGGTATTGACTTCTTGGATCGATTTTAGCTTTGCCCCTAGCAAACTGTAAATCGGTATTACAGAGTTCTATTCTACCGAAAATTTAAAGCCAATCGCAGCGATACTCTAAAAGTTTTGAACACAAAGTGAATGTAAATATTTGCAGTAACTTATGATCTGAGGGAAAAGTTAAATTAATTTCTATAAGGAATAGATTTACAATTATATTTAGAAAAATATTTCGCCCTTGCCTTGGAGAGGAAAGTACAACATGATCATAAACGAGTAGCATATGAAGAGCTTCGTAATTCTCTTGCTAATTTCTAGAGTTTGTTTACCGTGTGGTAAGAACACGATTCGCGAACTTTATTGCTGAAAGTCGGGAAATTACCTACTCAATTGAATCCGTTAAAAAGACCTAAACTCGTTACTTAAAATGGGATTGAGGTTGTATCTCAGCTAAATGCTATTAGGACTATCAGTCAGGCAAAATTATCTGGATGCTGCATATAATAAGAAAATCACTAAAGACTGAGAGACATAAGTGAGCATTCCGCTTGTAAGACACAGGCATAGATGGGAAGTTTCTACAAAAATAGATAAGAAATTAATTTTTGTGGGTGTGGACTGATTTCATCTGGTCGAGGACAGAAACCGGTGGCAAGCTCTTGCGAACACATTGACGAATTTTAGGATCCCTGAGCTCGGTTTTATTAATTTCTCAACGAATTTGTGAAGTAATGCTGAATTTGGTAACTTAAAGTCCTTGACTGGCCGGTCACATTAGCCGCGCGGTCTGAATATTGGACCATGAATTCTGAAACATTTGGATCATGTGTTCGATTCCCAGTCATAGCGTGCATGCATGTCGGCTTATTGTTGTGTTGTGTTGTCCTGTGCACATGGAGGCTTTGCGATGGACTGATCGCTCATCCAAGGACTCCCACCACGTCTGAATACCTTAAGAGACCTCCCATACGTGAGGCTACTGGCGTACTTCAAAGACTGTAGTATGGATTAGCGCCTACAGCTCATGTAAAATTGCAAATCATTATAAGTGGCCTAACCATGGTTCTTATGGGTCATAGGTACACAAATTATATGTTCAGCTCCTGGATAGGAAACTGTGCAAGTCAAACTCCATGTTAGTGGAAGGTTGAAAAATGTACCCCAATCAGACACCACAATAAAATAAGGTGTAAGGAGGAGTATTTTTTAATTCGATACTATTCGTGATTATCCTCAGTCGCTCAAGACACGTATGAAATCACAAATACGAGGACTTTTTATTTAGTCGCAGTGTTTATAGAGATATTGAAGGGGTTCATCCTGCTGTGTGTTTGTCTTAAGAGCTCGAAGCTATTCACAAATACGAGGATCGTTTATTTAATCGCAGTGTTTCTAGAGATATTGAAGGGGTGCATCCTGCTGTGTGTTGATCTATAGGTTGACAGTCCGACTACACAACAATTACTGATTATAGTTTCAGTACATATTTTGATCTTAATAAGTCATCTTCGTGTGTTTGTCTTAAGAGCTCGAAGCTAATAGACATGACTGCTAATTTGTGTAAATATTTTTTGTTTTGACTTCACCACGTGATGGACTGTGTCTTAAGCATCTTACCTATTTTATCAGAGTGGATTATGTAAATGAAGTTACAGCCACTGGACCCTGCCCTAAACAATTTTAATCAAATCTATAACCTCACACACTATTTGTTTATGATCCATCTATATCTTGATCTCCCACGTGATGTTTACTCTTCAGGTTATTTATATTTATTTAGTGTTCTGTCTGACGACAGGTCCATATGAACAGGATCCTTCCATCCTTTTCTCGGACTGGGACCTATTCATATACGTTCTTGGCAGATGATCCAGAAGTGGTTTGCCATTGCCTTCTTCTGTGTGTGAATGGAGTAATTGTTGGGATGCCACGGAGAAACCGGGGAAGCCCCGGAGCAAAACTCCGTGTTGCCTAGACCACGGCCTTGCCCAACACAAGTTATAAATTCGGGCACCGCCTGGAATCGAACCCGAGACCCCAGGATTACAAGGCCAGCGTTATAACCGCTAGACCACCGTGGCTGTACTCTTCAGGTTATCCAATTAAAATTTCACTTGCATTTCTCATATCCACACACGTGTTAAAATTCCCGTCCACCTTATCCTTCTTCATTTTATCACCATAATATTGTTTAGTGAAACAGCAACGAATCAGTCGGCCCTCGTTCCATAAAAGAACATAGATTTTCTTTCTTCAAAGCTCGTTCGATTATCAATATAAGGTTAGCCTTCATTTCGATGCTAAATGATATTGTGTATGGCTTTACAAATATTGTCATAACCTCTATGACTAGGCTAAGTTCCTCACAGTTGAGGTGCTAACCTCAAGTAGAAAGACGTAGATGGCTGCAGCTGAAATGCAACATTACTGATTATTTGGGACAGTGTGGCAGTAATATCCCGACTGCATATGCACTGCACTTACTTCAAAAGACACACGTTAACGCTTATCCAAGATCGTCTCTGTTGTCCTATACCAGGGGTGGGGAACCTGAGGCCTTAAGGCCACATGTGGCCTTCTAGGTCCTTAAGTGCGACCTTTTGACTGAATCCAAATTTTACAGAACAAATCCTTTTATTTTTATTAATACGTTTTTCAAGACGCCCTTAAGGTCACAAATGACGGATACTTATCTAGAGGATCAACTGAAACTGTGGACCTCCATGCTGCAACCAAACATTCAAATGCTTTCCAACAAAACGCAGACACAACAAAGTCATTAGAAGATAAGTTAACTTTAAAATTAACAAATATTTTTCATTTTTTGAAATTATTTAGTACATAGTAGTTAGATTTTTACAAAATAATGTACATTTTTAAGTATATCTAACTGAAGTTTCTTGAATTAAATTAAATTAATGCGGCCTTCCAACATGAAAAGTTTCCCCATCCCTGCCCTATACCATAGTTTTCAACATGTTCACTACTAGATTCAAATAACATACCAGTAGAAGTAAAGTACACAAATTTTAGTGGCCTGAAGGCACGCAATCATTGCCAGACAGGACAGGAGTATTCGCCACTGATAAGCCGTATCCAATAATTCCATCATATTGCTATGAAATACAGGCGCATGCCTTACTTTAAGCTGGTGCATTGCTTGAAAAGTTTCCATAATGTCGAAGTGCTGTATCTCGGGGAGCATTTTTCCACAGGCTTACATGTAATGGTGGGGGAATGTCTTCTGAACAATCTTAAAAATATCGCAAAGTTGTCTCTTGTATTAAATGACTAAAATAATACGTAATAATGATATTAATAATAATAATATATTTTAAGAACAATTAAAAATAAATAAATATAACTCGAGTAATCTGAGTATTTTACTACACAATACTGATATACGGTCTCATTCAATTTGGTTTACTGTCCTAAATTATTAATTTTGAGGGGAGACAATTTTAATTGTTGGAAACAGAAGGACTATTCGATGGGCTTTCGAGGGGGCTTGGGCTGGAGACTGACGGAGACTGCTACAGACTTGGCAGAAGATTTTGCTATTGATATTGAAAATAATTTGAATTTCAAGGTTATGTTGAACATTCCATCTACATAACAAATTTATCTGCTATTAGTTGAAATGTGTCTCTTCTTTCCTTCATACAGGGAGTGCAACTGGACGTGGATCTCCCTACAGAATTGGGTAATAATCCAGATAATCTAATATGGCTTTCGTCTCTGTCAATTAATTTAATTACTTCTAAATTCGGTTCACAACATTCGTCACTTATCAATTTTGTAACCGTGGTATCTACTGAGTTCAAATAAAGCTCAAAAATGAGCGAAAATGATTAGATTATCTAAACAAAATGGCGCTTGGTCTGAAACCAACTCTTCAATTGCGCGTGCCGTCAACCGGGTGAATGTTGAGTTCTAGAACTGTCCTTATTTCGCGTTCGGCAACTTCCCTAAGTAAAACAGATGAGGAT